CCGCATCTCCACTTTGAAAGCCTTCTAAGTGCAAGCTTAGAACACAACACCCAACCTAATCAAATGTGTAATGAAAACAATCAAGACCACGAACACCAGAAGTTGAAGGCTTTCTTGGGCTAGATATATGACCCTATATATTAAGTTTTTATATGATTTGCATCCTACCACTCAGACTATGAATTTAAAGCAAAATTTTAAACACATCAAATAACCACTATAATTATAATACAATCAACAGTATCCTATTAACTTAGAATTATTATGGGTAGAAATGCATTTCTTGATCACATAGTATAAATCTAGATAACATATAAAACTTCGACATTTTATAACTAGTCAAATTTGAAAAATTCACAATGAAAATGGGGATGTAACTCAGATGGTAGAGCGCTCGCTTAGCATGCGAGAGGTACGGGGATCGATACCAGATCGAAGGGGAGAGCTTGACCGATTTCCTTGTTAAGTGGAAGGTCGCGGTCGGGGAGGTCGACCCAATGGATGATGCCACTGCTACCCACATGCTCCATATTTCCCTGCGGGCAGGATATCTCTATCAAGATTTCATCCTTCACCCCCGACCACGTATGAAGAGGCCCTCCGAAGGGTCACAGATTATGCCAATGCCGGCGAAGCAAACGCCGTGAAACGCTCGCAGGAGGTCGGTTCTTCTTCCCGTAAACCGGCCGGCCGGGCGGAACATCGATCGGGTGATGATCATCCCCGATCCCGCACCAGGCCTGGTGAGTTTACGGCCCTGAACCGATCCGCGGCGGAGGCCATGCAGTACACACAGTACTGCAATCTCATCAAACTCCCTCATCCCGAGCAAGATGGACCGGACAAGAGTAAGCACTGTGCTTACCACCGATGTGCCGGGCATGACACTGAGGAGTGTACCCACTTGCGCCAACTATTAGAAGATCTTCTCAATCGTGGAAAGTTGGACAAGTGTGTGGAGAAGAGAGAGGAGTGCCGGGCATGACACTAAGGAGTGTACCCACTTGCGCCAACTATTAGAAGATCTTCTCAACCGTGGAAAGTTGGACAAGTGTGTGGAGAAGAGAGAGGAAACGAAGAAGAATACCGATCGGAGGGACAATAGGCGCTCTCATCATCGTTCCGATCGTTCTTATCGTGATGGACGCTCCGATCGGTCGGGTCAGGATCGAAGAGATGACCGCAGAGATGACCGTCGAGATGACCGACGGGACCCTGACCCCCCATCTAGCAGCCGACCGGCAGGAAAGCCGACCATCCACGTAATCTTTGGTGGATTGGATGGTGCATTCGGTTGCACAGCATAATTTGCGTTACCCATGTATGTGGGTCTATTTATACATATTTTAGGCTAGAGCCATACAAGGCAATGTTGCAAAAATCGCGCCTAGGCGCCATTGCGTCGCCGCGAAGAAGGCCGAAATCGGCCATCTCCACGGCCGGGCGCCTAGCCGGCTGAACCGGCGCTTTTAATTTTTTTTTTTTTTTTTTTTACGAAAAGTTCAGGAAGGCATAACTTTTGACTCGGTTGTCCGTTTTGGACAATTTTTTTTTTCAAATCGCGTATTTTTTTGAGATCTATCCACCGCAAACTGCTGGTCCACTAATTTCTCAAAAAAATCCTTACTTAGCTCTTAATTTTAGTTTTTTATGTATTTAGATGGTTTAAACAATCTTTTGAACACTTTTACAACCACTTTCGTAAATAGTTTCTAAGAAATAACTATGGAAACCTTATGTTTTATTACTAAATTTTAAAAATTTTTAATTTTTAATTTTATTTTTAATTAAAAAAATAAAATAAAAATAAAATAAATAAAATAAAAAATAAAAAATCGGCGCCTAGGCGCCCCCTTGGCACCTAGGGGGCGCCTAGCGTGTTTTGCAACATTGATACAAGGAATAAGAATTATAGACAGACTGCCTCATATTGTGAGTCTTAGTTACATAATGAGACCTAATTCTATTATACTAGAGATAATTAGTCCAATTCTAACTATATCAGGAGTATCAGGCCCAATCCTTGTCAAACTCTTAGGTTGCTCCATATTGTGTTTCTTTCTTGGACTTCCTCGATCCAGTTGTTCTTCTTGGGCCGGTCCATATGACCTAGGCCTAGTATGCTATCCATCCAGTATATATAGTAAATCTCAATTTATTTCTTAACAAGTTACCAAGCTTGTTCCTCTCTCTATGCGTGTCTCTCTCTCTCTCTCTCTCTCTCTCTCTCTCTCTCTCTCTCTATATATATATATATATATATATATATATATATATATATATAGGGATGCACTCAGGTGCGAATAAGTGCCCAGGAGGAAATATGCGAACGAATCAGCGCGCGACTCGTGTCCAGATTTAATAGATTAAAAAAAACGCGGTGGCATTTTCGTAAATAATTGAACATCGAAGTGCAAATAAAATCACTTACAAGTGCACCTACTTTCACCTATAAGTGCATGTAATTTTGCCTTGTTAACATTCACTTCCCGCAACCATTCATTCACCTAGGTGCACCTACTTATAACTATAGGTGCAACTACTTATAACTATAGGTGCACATACTTTCACCTGAGTGCATGTAATTTTGTCTTGTTAACATGCATTCACTTCCCGCATCTATTCATTCACTTGGGTGCACCTACTTATAACTATAGATGCAACTACTTATAACTATAGGTGCACCTACTTTCACCTATAAGTGCATGTAATTTTGTCTTGTTAACATTCACTTCCCGCAACCATTCATTCACCTGGGTGCACCTACTTATAACTATAGGTGCAACTACTTATACCTACAGGTGCAACTACTTATAACTATAGATGCAACTACTTATAACTATAGGTGCACTTCGTATTGATGCTTAGTGTAAATTTTACTTGCACCTATAATACACTTTACTTGCACTTCGATGTTCAATTATTTACGAAAGTGCAACCGTATTTTTTTAATCCATTAGATCTGGACACGTGTCGCGCGCTGATTGGTTCGCATATTCCTTCCTGGGAACTTCATTCGTACCTGAGTGCAATTCTATATATATATATATATATATATATATATATATATATATATATTCTGTTACAGGTCTTTTCTCCCTCTGCATATTCAGATGAGCATTAGAACATATAATATATATATATATACTCACATATACGCTTTGTATATGCCGATTGCCTTGGGGGCAAGCAGTTCTGAGGATTGTCGGAACCGGACTGTTGGAATTTGCTACCAGAATGACGTGTATTCCGATGTACAGATCGCCATAGTTCTCCATTGGAAGACAACGTGGCAAGGTCATTGTGGAGAAGGATGGTGGTTGTTTTTCTGTTATCTATTGGATTCTGTGAATCCAATACAGATTTTTCTCTTTTTATTTATGTGCAGGGTGATTTGAGGGCGTATCTCATGGTCTACGTGGATGACATGCTCCTCATGGGGAGTTCCCAGTCTCTTGTTGATAGTCTCCTGGTGAAATTGGCTGCTGCTTTTAAGATACGGGATTTCGGTGCCCCAGCTTCTTTCTCGGGATTGAGACTGTTGTGTGTGCTGGTGGTCTTCTTTTGTCTCAACAACGTTATATGCTTGATATACTTAAACGTGCAGGTATGTAGGATTATAAACCGTTGGTTACACCGGTTCTTGTGACTCGTGCAGTTGAGAGTTCTACGGCTCCATATTCTGATCCCACGCAATATAGGAGTCTGGCTGGTACTCTACAGTATTTAACTGTTACTCACCCGGAGCTATCGTTTGCGATTAACCGTTTGTGTCAACATATGCATGCACCCACGATGGCACACTGGAGTCAGCTTAAACGTGTCTTACGGTACATAAAGGGAACTTTGGACTATGGCTTGCGGTTGCGTCGGAGTGTGTCTCGGGAGTTGCATGGCTTTTCTGATTCTGATTGGGCTGGTTGTCAGGAGGATCACAAGCCTACAAGTGATTTTGCAGTGTGTTTAGGCACTAATCTCATTTCCTAGGTCTGTAGAAAACAACGCACTATTGCTAGATCTTCGACTGAAGCTGAGTACAATGCGCTATCTGATGTCTCTGCAGAAGTTACTTGGATTATGTCTCTCCTACGTGAGTTGGGGGTGTCTCTGATGCCAACTCGAAGGTTTTGGTGTAATAATCTTGGGGCTACTTACATATGTGCCAATCCGGTTTTCCATGCTAGGACTAAGCACATTGAGATTGACTATCATTTTGTTCGTGACAAGGTAGCGTCTGACGATCTTCGTATTCATTTCATCTCAACCAAAGATCAGTTAGTTGACATCTTCACGAAGTCCTTGCTTGTGCCTCGGTTTGTGTTTCTCAGGGACAAACTTCAGGTTGCTACTCACTCGCGCTCCTTCGCTTGAGGAGAAGTTTTAGGACTCTATAAGTCCTAGTAATAGTTAGACTCTATTGCTTGTACTGTGTTTATATTTATCTAATGTAACTTATTATGTGATTATTGAAGAATCCTATTTTAATCAACATGACACATAAAATGAGACACATAGAGTATTATTTTACGGCTGAGTTCATAAATGATTTTGGAGCTTTTTAAAATTTAGTAGCTTAACTATTATCTCCTAAATACTTAGAATGACTTTTTTTTTTTTTTTTTTTTTTCTTGGAGGGTACTTAGAATGACTTATGTATACCTTTTTTTTTTTTTTTTTTTTTTATGGAATGTTACTGGCCGTATTACATTGTAGTATCTGTTCATATACTTTCTCAACCTACTGAAACACAAAGAACCAATAACGTCTCTACTGAGGCTCGAACTCGTAACCTTTCAAATGGAAGTCCAACCCGGGTACCATTAGAGGTGACTTATGTATACCTTATTTATACACAATCACGCATTTACACAACATTATACTAAATCTCAATTTGTTTCTTACCAAGTGTCCAAGTTACCAAGCTTGTTCCTCTCTCTGTGCGTGCCTATATATTCCGTTACAGGTCTTTTCTCCCTCTGCATATTCAGATGAGCATTCGAACATCAAGAAAAAATTGACTGAAATGTGCATCAGTGCATATACGCCTTGTATAAGCCGATTGCGTTGGGGGCGAGCAGTTCCGAGGATTGTCGGACCGGACTGCCGGAATTCGCTACCGGAATGACGTGTATTCCGATGTACAAATCGCCAGAGTTCTCCGTTGGAGGACCGCGTGGCGAGGTCATTGTGGAGAATGATGGTGGTCGCAGTTCTTCGTCGTCCTCTTCGTCTATTGGGAGGAACAGCGACGAGTCTGCAGCTGGTGGTGATGCCGACGGTGAAGGTCTGGAAGTGCAGGGCTCGGCAATCCATTTGGAGGACTTGGAGGAGGCGTTGCGGTTGAAGTATGTAGCTGTAATCCATTTCTCGTTGCATTTTAGATGATTTTTTCTTCAAATTTGCATATGTTATGTAGTGCCATGTGATTATTGCTGTTAATTATATAGTTTGACGGTGTAGTTTTATTGGTTGAAATCTAAGTGCATATTTTTTAACACAACTTTCCATTAAATTTGTTGTTACAGTTAGGTTTCTGTGTTAGTATATTCGCATCATTTAATTGCAGTTAAATGTTGAAGATTCTCGTTACCACAATGTTAGGACTTTGTGCATTCTATTTATGTATTTGTGTACTATTGATTGTGCATATCTGTATTCAGTATGATGTGGATTAAGAAATAGATGCATATGTTGTCTTGACTAAAGCTCGAGTGATTCTAAAGGGTTGAAATTATGAACTTCATTAGAATCTATAATAGATATGCTAATGTTATCCTGTGATGTGTATTGCATCTTCAAGAAATCGATTTATGTAACTTGCAGATTTTATCATAAATGTTACACACACAATAAAAAGGGATTTTCGGAAAGATAAAATACTGGCCAAGAATCTACAAAAGTTTCATTATTCAATATATGGGCAGTGCATGCTATAGATCCTGCCCAATAGAAAAAAGTGAGTTTATCGCACTTTTGGTCCCACGGCTATATATAGTGGCATTATCAGGATTGATCCACGACTTTCAAACCTTGCAATCTCGGTCCACGACTATTGTTTTTTTTTTTTTTTGCAAAAATGGTCCTTCCGGCCCGTTTGTCTTGTCATATCAATGGTGGCTAAACTATTGTGTTCTCCTCCTTGCAGGGAGGAGAGCTGGTCACTGTCATTGAGAGTTTTGTTACAATATTCAGATTCTTGGTAACATAAAGCTGGTGCTTTCTATTAAACTTCTGGGAAGTTGACAGTTCTATTTAATTATTCAATTCTTTTGGCAGCTTGGACTGTGCATCAACTCGATTTTACAATGGTAGAGATACTCAAGCTATTGAAACTGGAAAAGACAGGAAATGGTGGCAGTGGCTGAGAACTGGACTATGGATTCTCAGCATAAGATCATTTAAGGTATGGGATTTAAACCTGGCAAAAGGTGTTTTAGAATGATTTCTTTGATATTTGCTATTTTTCTTCTCTGTAATAAAGTTTATTGCTAGTTTCTCCTTTCTGCATTCCCAACAGTAAATAACTGGCAGTAAGTGTATGGGGCTTATTTGTAGAAACACAACTAGAGATTACAGTGGGGAAAGGAAGCAAAACGGAAAGAAAATAAGTGAAGAAAGAAGATATGACCAATAAATAGTAATAGGGCATAAACCACGACAGATGGAGCATTAGCTATGTTCACGAAATTAAAAAAGGACACAAAATATATCTATAGAATAATACAAAAAGAAAGTCTTTTAATGAATATTAGATGAACTAAAATTAATAATAGTAAGGAAGAAATGCTTACAGAATCCCTATGATAACAGCAAGAGCATACATTTTCCTATTAGTGAATGATTATGTTGCATAAGCAAATCTATTAGACTGAGTACTGGCAGGACATTGAACTAATTAATCAACACTTAGCAGTGTCAGTATAAGGTAATAATAACAGAAAAGACTGCATGAGGATTAATTATTTCAAACTTCCCTTTTAAATTAAATTATTCCTTTTCCATCAATCCTATCTAAAATTATTTCCTATATGCAAAATAATGTATTAGTATATTGCGTGGTGTCCAATTTAACACATAATGAGATTGGTTTCTTTTAATTGAGAAGAGTTCACTTAGTCCCTTATTGTGCAAAGGTTAAAAGTTAAAACACCTAGCAGTGAACCACACTTCAATACTTAACTAGTAGCTTATAATGGTCAAAATCATATTGTGATATAGCATGTTTTGGCTTCTTTGAAATGGAAAATGAACATGAAACCAAATTTTATTCTGGTTCAGATGAATTTATGAAGGCTTAGGATGAAAGATATATGCTCTACCTTTTTTTCTCTTCTTTCTGATAGGTAATATGTGTTAAATTTTTATTTAAATTATAGGAATTATCTTTTTGGAACTAATTTGGAGGGTGGGGTTTTTGACGGCCTATATTTTAAATCAACAAGAACTGAAAAATTATGATTGTATACCGTGGTATTCGAGAAAAGGTATCTAAAAAATGCAACCTACTAAAATTTGTTACTTACCGAGTATTTGAACTAAGGGCCACTACCTCACACTTGAGGTGCGTGGCAGTGTTAAAGTTCCTATAAATAAACCGTGTAGAAGTCTAATGCGTATATGAATTCTTAAGGCAAACATCCTCTAGAGGTTTCTCCTTTTCCTTCATGTTTCTCTTCTTCTTTTTTTTTCAAAGTAAAGCAATATTTTTTTATTTTTTTAAAAAAAAATTCCTTTGCAGCTTAGTTTTGTATGATGACTTGCTTTTTCTTGTGTGCTTGTGATCTGTGAATCTCCTTCACCGGGCTGAGAAACTGCATTCTATGACTCCTTTTTGACTGAGGATTTCAGCACCATCATTTGGCCATTTTACATCTGGCTGATGTGTTGTCTATATCTTGGATGAAATTTTGTGTTAGTTTGTTTCATCCATTTCTAGTTTTTTGTGTTCTTATTTTCATTCTTGGCCAGGCTCTATTATTTAGGTTTATTGTTCACAGTGAAGAGTCTCTTTGTTTTGGTTTGGTTTGGCACTTTGGCATGCTTCATATCTTAATACCTTTTTTTTTTTTTTTGGTCTTTTAATCTTGTCATTTTGGGAGATTCACGGCAGTCTCATGGTGTGAATTTCATGTGAACAGGTCTTGTCAACTAAGAGCATATTTTGCCATGGATGCTGCCTATCCTGAAGTTCCTGTCAAGTTGATGAATAATCTTTTCCATGCAATGAACAGAGAACTCTATTCAATCCTTGTTTTTGTGCTTGAACGTGATCCTAAGGTATCTGTGAATATGATTGCTTTATGGATTTGGTTAGAACATAATAAAATCAATGATGCTGTGCCAAAAATCTTGTCATCGTCCATAAAATTGATCAATGGACTTGCTGATGAAGCTGTGGCCTGCCTTAGATGCATCACAGATGCCATGTATCTGTTCTCTTCTGATGCAAGTGAGATTTCACTCACTCAAAATCTCTTGGGAAAGCAGTTGTCTCTAAAGTTCTTTCATGAAAATCGGGCCGAGGCATTGTATGGGATCAGAATGATTGTGGAGGATGTTTGTGTCAAGGTATTGGGCGATCTCGTGAAAATGGCCATCAAGAGAACCACTGAACAAGAGTTGCTCAAAACTCAAATGGTCATGATGCCACCGTCTGTTTCTGAGCCCATGATACCAAGGTTTGGAGGACTCAGAGTCTCAGGTGAGTCGTCTCAATCGGTGGTGCCTCCCGTGGATCCCATGATCCAAAGGTTCGGAGGACTCGGACTCACAGATGAGTCGTCTGAATCAGTGATGCCTCCTTTACTTTTGAATGAACCAAAAGACGTAAGAACAATGTTTGCTACGTTTTCTAAGGGCTATCCTGTTTTTGAAACGGAGCTTTGGGGTTACTTCAACAGGATGTTTGGCGACTGTGTGGAGTCCATCTCTATGCAGGTGGTGAAGCCCAATGAGCAGTCACTTTTTGCCCTGGTTGTCTTCACCTCTTCGGCAATCGTTGACTTGGTTCTTAGAGGTCTGGCAAAAGCAAAATTTACAATTAAAGGCAAGAATGTGTGGATGCGAAAATTCATCCCGAGAACCTAAGAACCTCTTTGATCTTCCCAGTAGTGTTTCTATTTTCTAAGTCCAGTTATGTTGTTTGTTTCAGTTTGTAGTGAATGAAGGCCAGATATGATGCTCTCTGGTTTCAGTTTGTAGTAGATAAAGTGCATCTTGTAATATATATGTTGTGTTAATGAATGCAAATCTTCCATTTCTGTTGTGAACTGATTGAACTTGAAATTAATACAGATTGCTATGCTGTAATGTTTTGGTTGTTGCTTGGTTTTTTTCCTTGTGATTAGGCTAACGTAAAATGCTTTATTTAATGATGAAAGAATAATTTGTCATTGTATTAAGTATAGCTGTCAGCAATAAATTGTTATTGTTGTAATGATTGGTAAACGATTATCTGGAAAGTTTCTTGTTTTAAATACGTTGATTGAATTTCTGAATGCGTTTATTAAAAAGTGTCATATTTTACGTTACGTTATGCTAAATCTATGCATCGATATTCGTTGTATATTTGTTTTTATCTTTTGTTCAAGTATGGACTCAATTTATAAAAATTATATATTGAGAGAATTTATTTTTAAGTTTTTGCTTCAGTATGAAAATAACTTAAAAAGTTGAGATTAACCGTGTTTGGTAAATGGCTGTTAAATGATAGCTGATTGAGTTAATTAAAGAGTATGGCCCTGTTTGGTAAAAAATTGGCCTATAGGCCAATTTTGACTTATTTGACCACTATTAATTGTTTGATTTAGTTAAAATATCAGTATAAATGTTTGGTTAATTAGCTTTTTGCGACTCCAAAAAGTTAAAATTCAAAATGCTACTCCAAGCAACTTTTTCAATTAGCTTTTTGAGAAAAGAAATTATACCAAACAGCTATCAGCTAACAGCTAATTTACCAAATACTTTTCTACAATCAGCTAATGTTATCAACTATTTATACCCTCTAATTAACACAATCAGCTAATAACTAACAGCTATCAGCTAACAGCCATTTTACCAAACAGGGCCTATAACTAATTGATAACATTAGCTGATTGTAGAAAGGTGTTTGGTAAATTAGCTGTTAGCTGTTTGGTATAATTTTTCTTTTTCTCAAAAAGCTAATTGAAAAAGTTGTTTTGAGCAGATTTTTGAATTTTAGCATTTTAGAGTTACAAAAAGCTAATTAACCAAACACTTATATTAATTTTTTAACCAAATCAAACAATTAATAGTGGTCAAATAAATCAAAATTAGCTAATAAGCTACCTATTTTACCAAACAAACCAATCTTTTTGAAACTTGTCATATTTACAGGGCGTTTGGTTGGAGAGGAGGAATTATATGGGAAAAGAATTGCAATTCCATGGGAGATGAATTACTAGGAATAAAGTGGATCTTAAATTCCAGTGTTTGGTTTACAGGAATAGAATTACTGAGAATTTCAATTCCAATGTTTGGTATACATGGGAATTGAAAGGGAATAAGTAGTATAAAGTCAAAAATATTCATTGTTGTTGTTAGACATTAATTTTAGGTTAAAAAAGGAATGAGTAATTTTGACTCATCATTATCTTTTTTTCTTCCTCAAATCACAAGAATTAAAATCGGGGGGGGGGGGGGGGGGGGGGGTTACTAGCAATGTTCGCTGACCGGGTGTTATCCCCATGTTTTACAGGTTTTGAGTAGATGCTGAGCGCGCTAGATGTGGAACGCTAGATAGAGTAGTTACCATGTTTAGACGTTATCTTTTGTTGGCATGTGTGCCTAGATTAGCGGCCTGTGTGTCTAGACTAGTGGCCTGTGTGCCTAGACGTTTACTGTTTGTTGACTTGCTAGTTTCCGCCTGTGCACCTATGTTTGATATAGGTGTGGCATAACATATCTCCGGTTTTAATTAAGTTTCCGCTGTTGTTTATCTTAATGATTAGATGTTTACCTTTGAAATTAAGTTTTAAAAATGTTGAAAAATCGGGGGTGTTACAGATTTGGCTCTATCTTTTGCCCTACTTTGCTTGTGAAATGTTTATCTCTTTGTATAAATACCCCCAGGGGTCACCATGTAAGAGGCCGGATTTTTCTACTTAATAACTTATCATTATTCTGTGGGATTCTTTTCGTAACAAAGAGTTCTTTATTTCTCTCTCGTTTTATTCACAAACCTTAGTGTCTTATGATAGTGTTGGCCTGCCGAACGGCTACCCAAAGCCGTAAAACCAACGGGATGCATCTATAATTGTTTTTATGCTTACGTAAAATTGTTAAAAACTTGTAAATCTTATTTCATGTTATTTGACATTAGCATTTTTCATTGAATTAATTTAAATTTTAGTTATAAAAATATATATTTATTTATGAGAAAATTTCAATTTTGGTCCACTAACTATTGGGGTTGTGTTAATTGTAACACTTGACTTTCAAAAATGTTAATTTAGTACATTGACTATGTAATTTCTATCAATTTTGGTCACACCGGCCAAATTGCCGGCCAAATCTCACCGGAAAAATTTAATAAGTCAATTTATGAGGGTATATTAGTAATTTTACTCATCTTTTTTCTTCTCCAATGATCTTCCCAATTTCCGGCGACTTCTTTCTTCTCCAACTGCAATGCAAATGGAAGTATGAATAGGAGCACAGACTACTTTCATAAGCTCGTCAATAATGGTCAGGAACAGAATGGCACAAACCTGTGACCAAACAGAGTGGCATGATTGCATTCAATATTCAATTTGAACTCATCTGCATTCAATATTCAATTTGAACTCATTTGCATTCAATATTTAATCCCTTTCACCATTAGAGGAACGTCATGTAACTGAACTACCCAAATAAACACCAATTCAAAAGGCAATAATAAGCCATATTTCCGCAAGAAATTAGCAGTTGAAAGAGTAAAAAAGTAAAGGCCACCGCCATAGGACAGTGTACCACCGCGTCCTCCTCCTCCGGCTACGAAAATCGAATTGACGAAGCTTCTAGAATATTTAGGTCTTCGGCGTCGTCGAACTGCAAGGTGCCGACGAGGTTGTCGGTGTTCAAGCAGCTGATACTATGTAGCGTGGAGGGGAAGGTGAAGGAAAGCTTTCTGATCGTGAAGACATCGAAGGACCCGTATGAGGATTTCAAAGGGTCAATGGTGGAGATGATTTTGGAGAAACAGATGTTCCAAAAACATGATTTGGAGCAGTTGCTACAGTGTTTCTTGTCTCCGATGTGGTTCTCTCCAAACGGCCGGAAAAGGAAGAGATCCAGAAAGAAGAAAGAAGTCGTCGCCGGAAATTGGGAAGCTCATTGGAGAAGAAAAAATATGAGTAAAATTATTAAAATATCCTCATAAATTGACCAATTAAATTTTTCCGGTGAGATTTGGCCGGTAATTTGGCCGGCGTGACCAAAATTGAAAGAAATTACATAGTCAAGATACTAAATTAACATTTTTAAAAATCAAGTGTTGCAATTAACACAACCCCAATAGTCAGTGAACCAAAATTGAAATTTTCTCTTTATTTATTATAGGGCCATCATATCACTTTCCTTTGTTGTGATCCGGTCATGCATGCACTGTCACTCGCCTAAGTTGCACCCTCTCCCATGCAATAAGTGTGATAAGTATAATCATTTTACACAATTACACTAAGAACAAAAAATCTTTGCATTAAAAATGTTACTTTATTATTTGATTGTTGGTGTTACCTAACTTAATTATTTATCAACGTAACAATTACTAAATATAATTAATTATATTTCCTATATACAATTTTAAATTAGTTATATAATCTAACATTTAAATTAGTTAGATTAGATTCATGTTATTAATTATTAAGATACATGTGGGTGAACTCAACCGCATATTAATATTATGAATTTAAATATTTAAATAACTAATAGATTTTAATAATATTAAATAAAGTTTATTTTACTTTTGATCTCTACTCGATTATAGTGATGAACTTTTACTTATAATTCTTTTTTTTTTTTTCCTATCTTTCTACTTTATAAACCTCTCACTTTATAATAAAAAAATATTTCATTTTAACATATTTAGAATAGGGAAAATGGCACTTTTTACCCCTGAGTTATATACTTATAGCACTTTTTCCCCCTCAATTATTTAGGTAAGCACATTAGCCCCCTCAATTATTATAAAAGTGGTTCTTTTTCCCCCCTGATATATTAAATTGACATTTATACCCTTAAAGTAAACATTTTATTTATTTTACTACTCCAACAAATTATTGCGTATACGTAGGGATGACCACGGTTCGATTTGAATTGAACCGGATACTAAAGCAATCGAATTAATAGTTTACGGTTATAATTCAGATCTAGAACCCAATATTTAAATGTCAATTTATTAAAATTATGTATCAAAGTAATTGAATCTTGAACCGTGAACCGACGGTTCCGGATCTGATTCGCGGCTTTGAACCGTCTTTATTTTAAAATTTTATTTTTTATTTTAAAATAGTCTAAATTCAACAATAAATGTATTTTATTTTTTTTCGTAACATGAACCGTCAGTTCCGGTTCATGATTTTAATAAACTCTAAATATCGAATTTCGATTCTACATTGTAATTGGAATATTTCGGTTTGGTTGCTATAGTGTTTGAACCAAATTATGGTCATAATTTGTTGGAGAAAAAAATAAATTAAATATTTAGTTTAAGGATAAATATGTCCATTTAACATTTCAGGGGGAAAAACAGCCACTTCAATAACTTAGGGGGAAAAAATGCTATAGGTATATAACTCAGGGGGAAAAAGTGCCATTTTCCCTTTAGAATATTATAGATTAAAGTGCATGCTCAAAACGTAAGCGCTAAAATACTCTAGCAGTAAACATGTGAGAGATCGAGTAACAACAAATTGAAATAATGATAATACGAACAATTATTAATTGTCTCGTCAAAAAGTTAAATTGTTAGGTATAATCCAAAAATGAGCATGTTAACTAGCATGTTAGATAATTTATTGTGTACTCTTATCCTAAAGCAAATGTAATTAATAATTTAAAATGTAATGCCAAAATATCTCAAAACTAAAAATTATGTACATTAATTAATAATAATTTGTATTTGAAATAACATATCTAATTTGTATTCCATGACGGTGGTTGTTCCTTGTTTTAGATGGAGGAATTCTTCGTACATGGATGCCTTTACGTGTGTTGGGTAGAATCGTTCTCGTAGTCGTGTTTTGAGGTTTTCCCAATTGAATCCTGGTTCTTGTTGGTAAGCGGGACCCTCGTGGATCCACCAAAGATCGGCTTCGTGTCC